AGTATGAGTGAATACTATGGTAACTGTATTAATTTAAGGGAAAAGTGGCAAGTTTTTATAGTTCACCACTGCAGTTTATACTTAGTATACCTCTTGGTAATCTCCTCCCAACCCCAAATGGGTGGCAAAGCCCCTCAACATCCTTACAGTATTTCTTACGAAACACTCAAATGATGCACATATGAGGAGTGACCAAAAAAAGTTTAGTATCAGTCATCCAACATAAAATTGTATTGATCTAATGCCTCATCCCAAAAGTTTCCATTCCATTTAGCCCAAAGTCCTAGATTAAATGAGACCAGTAATTTGATCTTAGTCTCAAAGGCAAGTCTTTTGAACCCTTTAACAAGGAGGAAGTCTACATCCACCATGCTATGTTCTTTATCAACCAATTGCCAAAGAAAAGCTGAGTGCAGAATCTATTTTGAAAAGTGCAATAAACTCACAACACAAAGGCTCATTATAAATGGCAAAACTGCATTGAATAAAGTGGGAACAATTGTATGCAAAGGAGACTGCCACCGTGCTGAATGACTTTTCACAGCAAACATGCAAAAGTATCAGAGATCCCCAGGACACTTTTAAGCAGATGGAACTATGCATGAACTCTGGAAGTTATATAGTTCTAGGTTCCCCAGTTTTAATATGTTCTTAAATCCACATGCTCATTTAGTTTGCTTTCAGGAAAGCCTCCAAAATGGACAAGAATGTGGATACCAACAAAGACGTTAATATGAAACTCGCTTTGAAGAGATACAAGTATTTGGCTTAAATGAAAACAATGGTATTTTTAAGGTCTAAGATTAAAAATCACTAGCAAAAAACAGGGAACTGATTAAAAAATAAATTGTTCTAATTTCAAGTATAGAGAAAAACAATGGGCCATGACATGACATGACCTGAGGATCTGCAGGTAAATAACCTCACATGTTTAAACTGTGTTAGATGAATTATACATCAGCCATTATATATTTATATATATAAAGACATTCCAACTGCCTTAAATGTATCCTCTCTCTCTTTGCATTCCTATGCCTCATTCTCTAACACACATTCCAACAGTGAATATGCCAGAGATCCTATAGGTACAGTCTCATTCATCACACACCCCTTTTTCAGTCCCTGAGCACCATCTATCCTGTGCACTGGATCAGACACTGTGGAAAATAACAGCATGCAATCATTTATATTTAAAAAACACGGGTGAAATATTGGCCTCACTGAAGTCAATGGCAACACCCCATACTGTAATACACACCGTACAAAATATATAATATATGACAGTCTCTCTGCTACCTGGGGATTTTGCCACTAGTTGGAAGTGGTAGCAAGAACTGGAAACCTGTGTATTTAAAAATATTTGAACTAAGTACTTGTTTTCTTCAGGAACCTATTTGCTGACTCAAAATAGGTCTTGTAAAATGTTGGCCGCCAATAGTATGTTCATTTTTGTGTGTTTGACTCTTTACTAACAATTTTTTTTTAACTCCACTCGCCAGGGTCTGATTGCTCTGATTGCTCCATAGGCCAAGCTTGTAAAACAAGGCCCTAATCCAAAGAGCACAGATTCTCAAAAGGCATTTCATGAATTACATGTTATAAATATTCTCTCCCACATCGGAAGTTAGTAACTGATTGATGGGCCCTTCGAAGCGCTGGTCTTTAACCTTTAGTTTTCAGAGATGGACATGAATCTCATTGCAGTTTTCAAGAATATTTCTAGTTTAATTATTTTCTCTACTTGGAAAAAGTTCCAAGTTCTGTTCCTGCCTTGCAGTCCGGATTAGTGATGTTAGATATGGCACGAGCATTTCAGCACACAAAGAAAGAAGCAACACTTTGCAATTGCAGGTTAAAAGTCACTTCGCCATTCTGAGCAGGAGAGATCGCTGCAGGTTGAAAAGCTAGCAGCCACTCTCATTTTATGGGCCCATAAATTTATTGTGATGGATGAACTATCTAACCAACAACAACAAAATATCTTGAGTTGGTAATACCACGCTGCACAGCTCTGTTAAGTAAGTTATTCAACATGCCAGGTCTCTGGATATTATTGGGGAGTGAGAAAACATTATTTCTCCACCTCAATGTGTCTGTCTCTTTTCTTGTCGTGTGGAACTAACCTTTCAGGCTTAGTACTATTACTAATTTATTAGCCTTTTAAATGCCTCAATTGCTGTACAGTCTGTGGATTAAATCTTAATGCTTGCTGAAGCAAAGAGTGCTTTAGAAATGTGTGTGCACGTGTAAAGCAATAAACCAGATGGGGGAACAATTCTCTGTACCTCTGCGTTTGCTACAGTGAGAGCAAACAAACAACCATCTTCTTGAGCACAGAAGAGCCAGCAGTTGATGTTTGTTATAATTAAATGGTGACTCTTAGAAGTGATGACTTAACTAAAAAAGGTGTTAAATATATTTCTGTTCAAATCAATTAAAGGAGAAAATGATTTTCTTTCCATTTAGGTTAAATGACTACTGCACAAATTGCTGTCATACAATTGTGCAGCCCTGTCAGTCCAATCTCTTGTGACCTGATCGACTGCTTCTGCCCACTTGATGGGACCATCTGTTGGATAGTTAGGGCCACATTTTCTAAGAAATGAACCTTTAAACTAACTGTTTTGTCCCTAGTATAGAACACAAGGGGAAGCATGAACATTTTCTGCCGATGGAACTTAATCCAAAACCCACTGAAGTCACTTACTTAATAGGATTTTGGATTGGGGTATGGTGTTTAAGAGCATAAAAAATCTATCTAGTGCCTAGGAATGAAGCACAGGAAATCCCTGCACCAGACTGGCTGAATATCCCAGCATTGTTCTTTTAGGAAAAGGCCTTTCCCCCCACCAAACCTAGTTCCTGGATGTTGAGAAGCTACAGATAGACATCATGTGTGATTCCACATAGCCACGTTCTTCAGAACCTTTTACTGCCAATCCATTCATATTTACTGCTGCCCTACATACCCAACAGGGATCTCTCTCTCCTCTCCCGTGAAAGCCAATCTACATATCTTTCTTTATAAGCTTCACTATGAAATTCAGCTCCTCTTTGCTTTCAGCCACAGCAAGAAAATCCTCCTGGCACAAATCTTCCCTTCCAACGCTCAGTCCAAATACCAGGCTTTGCTCTGGGTAATTCCACCAGTGAAAAGAATTCTCCCACCATTACCATCAGGGTGTCAAGTGCCTGCATAGGCACTCCACCACCATTACTACAGCCCCTGCGTAGTAACTACCGTGGCTGTAACACAGAGGATCCATGTCTAAGTGCTCCATGCAGCCACACTGTGGGTGCTCGCCAGACTGCACCTCCTGGTCCGTAGGGGTTAGCATGCAGGGAACTCGGTTCTGCATTGCACATCTGTATCTGTGCAGCCATCCCTTATATTGCACCCCACCTTGTGGAGCACACTGGTCCCACTGCCAGAAGGCCCTCTTCCTCCTTGGAGGAAGGGAAATTTCCGCTATGTGAATAGCGGAATTGCAGTCCACTGCTTTGTCAGCAAAGTGTTCACATTGCTTTCGGTAATGCAAAGCTCTGGCATGCCTCCAGAGGAAAAGGTGTAGTTTCAGGAAGTCAGTTTACGTGACAGGTTTTTAGTCACAAGAAGCAAAATTTATATTTTGACACAGAATGAGTTGTATTAGCTTGTCCCATGAAATTGCCTTCAAGCATTTCTTCCCTGGTCTCACATCTGTCCTGGTTCTGCCCAGGTTCTTGAGCAGCGTTTTCAGCTCTGGACTAGCAATTCATAGCACATTGCAGGTAGCAAGGTGGGAATTACAAGAGAGGGTAAGATGACAATCTTAAACCTAAACTGGATTTTTGCTGTGCTCTCTTTTTCGGCCTTAACTCAGACTGGGTGCATCTGTAGGCCCATTTTAACCTCTCCCAACTCTCCCCCTGCTGAGTCACTTCCCTACATCCTGTACTTTGCTGGCTGCATTGACAGCACTAAAGAACCATCATTCTTTTTTCTGGGCAGCATCTTGTACAAGCTACTGTTGCCAGAACGATACTAGGCTCAATGAACCACCAGTCCAGCTGCGCAATTCCTATTTTACTATAAGCATTGAGCTCCTTTTTCTCTATGGCTGAATTGTCTTTAAAAAATCATCATAGCCTTACAGTAAGTTCAGATGAGATGCCCTAGATGCAGCTATAGAAAAAAAAAAGATCCATTTCAACTGTAAAAGGATTTCAGTTAACGCTCAATAATCTATAAATCACTGTTATGAGATTTTCCTATGCAAATCAAATGTATATGATCCTCATCAATCTTTAAAAACACCTCCATAAAGATTAAATTTTGCAGCTGCAATGCGAATTAAAGGATCTGTTAACTTATTTTCAAGATACATCTTTATAGCTAATTAATTTTCAGATCGAGTGTTCTTTGAAATGACTCATGGATAGTGAGCTTTGCTGATTGATTATAAAATGAGAAGGTGGGTTAAAAAAAGAGAGAGTTGTGAATATAAAATCACTGTCAAGATTGATTAACCTCGACATATTAAAATTCTAAACTGAGTAAGCAAGAGAAGCGGGTATTAACATAATACCTTTGTGGAGTATAATTTATTATTTCACATCAATACATTCCTCTTAGTTGGTCCATGTCCCATCAGCAAGGCCTCTGATCTAGATTTTAGTAGATGGGAGAGTGAACTTCATCTTGGAAGAAGTAATAATTTGGATTATATTGGACTATAAAACACAGCCTTATATATGATGTAAAAGGAATGAAAAAAGAAAATAAGTGTCATTCATATGTCACCCTCATCGGCAGATACTCTGAACTTCAGATCTACAGGGAGCTTTTAAGGAGCCACCATTAATGAACAGCCACAGCTTTTACTGAAAGTCTAGTTAATCTGCACTGACCTGAAAACATCAAGACTAAATTTGGGATTGCTATTTGCCACACAGACTTTGTGGGCGGTTCTCAATCACTTTTCCCCTAGAAATGGTGAGAATTAGACCAAGTGCATTACCCGTTTCCTCAGATTGCAAGTGAGCGTGAGATTCCTGGAGAAGGAGTTTGCAAAAGCTGTATAAAAGTCCAGAACTTTCAGCAAGGCTTCCCGTTTAATAATATGTAAATCGCAGTACGTCAGTGCCCGGACATTGGCACACGCATGGGCCAAAGTGGTTTCCTTCCAGAAGATATCGCCAAACACATCGCCTTTACCTGCAAAAGAGCAGGACACATTTATTAAACCACACATATACACTGCTCTTCAGCAAACCAATTAGTCCCTTCCCCAAATTTTCTTCAGTTCCCAATTATTCTGATTTTAGGCCCAGATTTTTAAAGGTATTTAGGCATTGCTCTGTTCAGCATTGCAAGGCATAATGAATTTTGGATCCTAGGTCTCTTTCAATGAGACTTAGGCTCCTAAGTGCAAAAGTCACTGTCATAAATATAAAGGGAAGGGTAACCACCTTTCTGTATACAGTGCTATAAAATCCCTCCTGGCCAGAGGCAAAACCCTTTCACCTGTAAAGGGTTAAGAAGCTAAGGTAACCTCGCTGGCACCTGACCCCAAATGACCAATGAGGGAAAGAGATACTTTCAAATCTGGAGGGAGGGGTGAACAAAGGTTTTGGTCTGTCTGTGTGATGCTTTTGCCGGGAACAGATCAGGAATGCAGCCTTACAACTCCTGTAAAGTTAGTAAGTAATCTATAAGTAATCTAGCTAAAAAATGCATTAGATTTTCTTTTGTTTAATAGCTGGTAAAATAAGCTGTGTTGGATGGAATGTATATTCCTGTTTTTGTGTCTTTTGTAACTTAAGGTTTTGCCTAGAGGGATTCTCTATGTTTTGAATCTGATTACCCTGTAAGGTATTTACCATCCTGATTTTACAGAGGTGATTCTTTTACCCTTCCTTTAATTAAAATTCTTCTTTTAAGAACCTGATTGATTTTTCATTGTTCTTAAGATCTAAGGGTTTGGGTCTGTGTTCACATGTACCAATTGGTGAGGATTCTTATCAAGCCTTCCACAGGAAAGGGGGTGTAGGGCTTGGCGGGATATTTTGGGAGAAGACGTCTCCAAGTGGGCTTTTTCCCTGTTCTTTGTTTAAAACACTTGGTGGTGGCAGCATATGGTTCAAGGACAAGGCAAAGTTTGTACCTTGGGGAAGTTTTTAACCTAAGCTGGTAAGAATAAGCTTAGGGGGTCTTTCATGCTGGTCCCCACATCTATACCCTAGAGTTCAGAGTGAGGAAGGAAGCTTGACAGTCACTTTTGAAAATGAGACTTATTAAGCTCCTTTTAAAAACTGGATGGGGGGGCAGTTTTTGAAAATTTTACTCTTAAGCACATGCTACAACTATGCATGTGCTATTAAGTGCTTTGCTGAATCTGAGCCTCACTGAAGTGTCTAACGATTAGAGCCAATCAAACTATTAATTAAGAATAACATTTGCTAAAAAAATCAACTCCCTTTTTGGCTAGCAAATCATTCACAAATACACCCTGATTCCTGTGAATGAACTTGTTCATTTGCATTCACTGAATAGTTCTGACAAAATAATTTTCTAACTACTTGTTGTCCATGACTGTTTGCATTAAATATTTTCGAATTGTGTTGTGCAATTGGGCATCTGTTTTTACTCCCTAACTGAATGACATTTTATTTTTAAACAGGAGAATAACAAATGGTAAGTAATTTGTAATGAGCTTGTGTTTTATGTTGTTTTCAGCTGCACAATCATCTGCTCTAAAATTTGTGAAATATTGGGAATTTGTGAACATTCTGAAGAATGTCCAACGGTCATTGCAATGAAAAATTGCAAACAACAAACAAACTGACCCCACAAATCTTAGTGAACTGAACATTGTACTTATATTTAGTTGTATTTGACAATCTGATTTTCTGCCATTTGACCAGTGCTGCTAACAATTAGATTAAGTGATTTTAATTATATAATATTATTAATTATCGATGTTACAGTATTGTCCAAAAGCCCAATCAGGATCAGAGCCCCACTGGATGGGCACTGTAGAAACATATATGAAGACCTCATTCCTGCCTTGAAGACTTTACCAACTAGATTAAGACAAAACTAAATATCTGAACATTTACAGGTACTAGTGTATATAAAATCCATGCCTCCAAAGCTAGGTCTGGCCAAAGCTATTAGAAAGGTAGTGGCTCAAACTATTCATTTTATTTGGATGTTGCAAAGTGAAATGATAGGTACATATCACATTCTGGGTGACAACTCTTCACTGGTCTGAAGCTGATTCTGTCGCAAAAGCAATTTTCGCTATTTTTAGCAGATTGGATTTCCCTAAGGAGATTTTACCTAACTGTGGGTCAAATTTCAGGTCTCAGCTATTCAGCGAGTTATGGAAGTTGTTTGGGGAAAAACAACTAAAAGCCATCCCATATCACCCAGAGACAAATGGTCTGTTGGAGAGGTTCAATGGAATTCTAAAATCTAGGCTCAGAATCAAATAGGAGAACCGGAGTCTGGGACAATGTCACTAACGGATTGTTACCCTGTTTGCTATTTGCTTATAGGAAAGTGCCCCAAGAGTCAGCAGGGTTTGCCCCATTTGATCTTCTATATGGAAGAGAAGTGAGGGATCTTATCTGAGACTCCTGAGAAGGGTACACTGTTACAGAAGTTAATGGACTTAATGGAAATGGATCAGACTAACCTCAGGAACAGTCCAAACAAAAGGTGCAGTATGGCCAACATACTTGTAAATGCTCTTTTGAAATGGAGGATCTGCGGTTAGTGCTAAGCACTAAAATGCAGAATTCTTGGGAAGGACCTTTTGCAGTGACAGAAGAGGTGAATGAAGATACAGATCATGTTAAAAGGTCGCATGGTAATGGTGTCCCACAGCTAGTGCATGTAAACAGATTTAAAGCTTATCACAGCAGGCAAGCTATGGTCAACACAAGCTGTTGTGTAGAAAGGGAAACTGAGGCACATTACCTCACTGAACGTCAACCTGACTCACCCATGGAAAGCATTGATCTCTGTGGTGAGTTAACACCAGTTGAAAAGGCAGAGGTGTTATCTGTGCTGCAAGAACATAGACAAGTGTTTTCTAGCAAACCAGGGAAGACTCACTTGCTGACTTATATGACCATTACTGTAGGATTACAGCCATCCCAGCAGGTCCTACCGCACCACTGGCAAGGTATAAGAGCAAATTTGCACAGAAATTCAAAGCATGCTGGACCAGGGCTGCACCTATACACAGACACCCAGACTGTGACCTGCATGCTGTTTGGCTGTTTGTGAACATCCCGTGCTGGGAACTACAACAGCAAAGCATTGTGAGGCACCCAAGGTTATGGGGCAGGCAGTGATACAACCGCACACTGATCTGGATCGTACCCCGGAATGTGACAGTCCAGTTTTGCATAAAAGAAAAGACACATGGTTCAATGTCACAGCTAGAACCAAGCGTCATGACAAATATCTCAAGATTAAAACCTTTCCTCATATTTACTGTAAACCAGAGAAGTGGCAGATCTGAAGTGTAGATCTGCAGTGCTGGTCACTCCATCTCAAAAAGGATATTTGCACACATGAATAACTTAACTCATATGTGGCAAGTTATATGCATAATTATTGGCAAGTTTGAGCCCTAAAATAGCTGTTCTGACAGTGGTTAACAGTTGGGAAGACACCCCCTTTGAGTAGCCAAAATTCCCTTCTCTTGCCTAATTGCTTTTCTAGCAATATGCTGAGTGAGGTCCAATATTTGGACTGTGCCTGATACCCAAATTACCTGAAGCAGCTACTGTAGAAAAAGTGAATGTATAAAATGAGGGTGGCATTCAGAAGTATCCTCCTCATTTCTTACAAAATGCTCACCTTGATTTTAACAAAAGTTACAAACATTTTTAGGACCCTTAAAAGGAAACAAAGTATAAGGGATTTGGTGTCTAATTCAAAACCCAGTAAAGTCTTTTCATAGAGATTAAGGCCAGATGGGACCACTAGATCATCTAGAACTGAACGCCTGTCAATCATAGGCGATTACATTTCACCCAGATATCCCTATATTGAGCCCAATTACTTTAGTTAAACAAAAGCATTTCAGTCCTCAGGAGAGTGAACTGTTGTGAGCCACAGGCCAAGACCAGGAAAGAGCGAGGTGCCACCAATGCCCGGGGCCCTTGCCGTGGCAGGAAAATGAAGAGGTGAAATATGCCCAGATGATACCCGTGCCCCTTGCTGCAGAGGAAAGCGAAAAAACCGCAAGGCCTCTGCCAATCTGACCTGGGGGGGAAATTCCTTTTTGACCCCCAAATCCGGCGATCAGTTTGACCCTGAGCATGTGAGCAAGACACACCAGCCAGGCATCTAAGAAAGAGGTTTCTTAGCACTCTCTCCATTGATTTCAATAACCCTTGCATTGGGCCCCGGTGAGGGTTTATTTTATAGCTTGGAGACTTTATTTTCCCAAGGGAAGAACGATAGTACATGTATAATATTTTTTATCGCCCACACTCTCAAATATTTGCAACATTTTCTAAGGATACTTTGCAGCTTTGTTTTGGGAACTACATACACTAACCAAATTAACAATCTAGCTGATCAAACTGATCTCATTGTTCCATGTGGTCTGGGGTTTTATTTCTGTGTACTGTCTATGGTATTGTATGTGCATAATATTATTCACTAGATCTTTGGAGGTTTGCAAAACATGAATAGGAATTTCTATTTGTAGTAAAGTAAAAATTGCTGATGCTTGTCTTGGTTTTATTCATCTCTATTTTACATTCAATAAAAAATAATGTCTATATCTTGGAATTGTCTCTTCTAATGAAGATTATAAAGGCTCTCTTTCTTAGTCTGGTTTTCAAAGGATTTTTTTAAAAAATGAGGGTGAATATGGAATACATAATCCAGCTAATGCATTTTACAAAATGAGATGTCATAAAGTTTAAATGCTTATTGCAGAGCATTTATGAGTAATTTATCACTTATCTAATGTTCTGATTTTAAAATGCCTTTCTGTAGTTAATTGTCCTTGTTCATAAACGCAGTTCTGTTTCATACACACACAACACAGTTATATAATTTATTGAAAATAGACCACTTTTTGAAACATGTGCAACAATGCATCAGTTATTTTTTCTTTGTGATGTGCACTTGGAAAAATTGGAGTTTAGCTTTGAGCAACTACAGCCTGCTGTTGAAAATAAGCA